CTGGTTAGAGCACTATGTAACACTAAAGCAGATCCCTGCCTTTAGATCTAAATGATTCATGATTCCTTCATGATCAGATCTAATACCTAGTTAAACAATAACTATGTCACTACATGAAAAAAACATGTATTTCTCAAATAATTACATTTAAAATTAACTATTTTTGTCAACAGAGAGACAAAAATCAAATATAATAAAAACCAGGACATTTGCTATCAGAAATAATCTTGTTTCACAGAATAAATGTTACTTCTCATTCTATCCACAATAACGATGAGTAAAAGCATGTTGAAAGTTCAATTACATGAGGCAATTTAAATTACGTTTGCTCCTTAAACACTCTTTCCTTTTTTTTTTTTTTTCTTGCTCACACATGGCAAGATCTCTTCAGTACTTGATTTATAGGCTTCATTCTATTTTCCCCTGTATATTTTACCATTTCATTTATAAGGAGTTCTTTTATTCATGAAAGTAGCAGTGTAGTGTCTTTTCATCCAAGATAATCTTATTTTAGTACTGTCCCACATTAGCCTGGGATAGAAAAAAGGAAATTTATTTTCAAAATCATGAGTAGTAGATTATACTAATGCTGAAAGCTACAGGATTTTAATTTTCTTTGAAAATAATATAGAAAAATAAAACAGCACCTAAAGAAGTTAGGGCAATAAACATAATACATACACACAGGCCAACATACAGGACCTATTTGCTGTAACTTTCAGATTTGGCAGCAGCTAATTCTGTTGAATACCTTTTCAATAATTATAACCCAGTTCTGTCATGCAGATGAATTTAACTTTTAATAGATGTTTAACAGTAGACATTTCCAATATCTCCAGCATGCTTGAAGTCTGGACATGATGGGGTTCAGTGACTTCAAGTTTGTTGCAAAGTGGAACCTTTGCAATAATAAAGAGTAAATATTTTAATTTAGACAAACCATGTAGTGTAGAGTGAGTTGAAGAGTAGTACTTTCCAACCTGGGAAGTGTCAGTGCTCACTGCATTGATGGCTTGAGGTTGTCAAGCCTCAAAGAGCTTCACTGGCTGATACACATTGTCAATGCTCTGAAAATTTTCCTGGATAAACTGCTGAATCTTGCTGGCACAGCTAAAAAGTGTTCTCACCTCCCTTTGTAACCCCTGCAACAGAGGCATGAGAAGGGACCTTGCAAGGGGCAGGAAGATACACAGTCACATCTGCTGAGGTTGCTGGGCTGGTAATTCCTCCTTTGAGGAGAGGCTGGAGGCAGCAGTGTCTTCAGCACCTACACCAAGGCCTTCCAGAACTTTGCCTGTCAAAACTCCAGCAAAATCCCTGGCTGATGCTAGGGCTCTTTCACACATGGATTACTGAATTTTCAATGTGTTAATACATAACTCTATAAGTAAATGAATTAATCAACTGCATTGTCCCTCCTTTGTAGCCCTGTAACCAGCTCCTGGAGTCATCATACAGAAGAACACGTTCACATTTCTGCACTCAAGTTATAAGGTAGCTTCCTTAGCTAAACAGAAAAAAACCTGAAAGCAGAGATGTACTGACAGCATTTTGGCCCAGTGGAGGACATCTGGCTTGTGTCCTAAAGTATTGATTCCCAAAGTCTTACTTCTCAAACTTGATCTGTTATCCCCAGAGCCTCTGTTGCCACCTGACTTCCCTGGCCTGATCCTGCTCCTACCCAGACTTGTCACACTTGACTTTTGAAGCCCTTGATTTTTGTTGTCATGCTGAGCTGGCAAGGACATATCATTTAAGGACGTCTTATTATTCCCTTATATGGCTTCTCCTATCCATCATAGTCATTCTGAATCAGAATACATACAAAAAAAAATAAAATCCCCACCCCAAAGTATAAAGCAAAAAAGTGACACACAGTTCACATCCATCACCAGTGCTATCAGATAGCATAGCAAATTTTGTGCAAGACAGGAGCATATTTAGTAATCGCAAAAGTTTCCATGGGTATATTTTGCTTCACCTGTGGGACCTGGGAAACTCTTTGAGAGTAGAGGAGAATTGCAGCAGAAAAAAAATCTTGAAGAAGTCACCAGTATATCTCTGGCAAAGTATTTTCCCAGATGCTGCCACAGACTCATCTGTGGAGAGGTGCCAGTCTCTGCTGGCTCCATAACTCTGCACTCCTTAGCCCCAGCGAATTTCACTCAGAAGATTTTTTTTTTTCCCTTCTGCTCCTCCAAGATCAAAGCAACAAAGGACATTTGTGAATCTGGCTGGTCCCTCCCTCTCACTTTACATTAATACTTCACCCAGTAAGGAGAAATGCTGTCATACTTGCTCCCAAAGCTTCCTGTCTTTCCGTGCTGTATGGAGGGCAAATTAATACATAATGTTTAAAGAGAAGGTAGGCTTTTATTTCCACAGCCAGAGAAGTGTATTTACTTCTTAATCTCCATTTTATTAAGTGTATAAGTACAGATTTCATCTCTGCAAGCTCTAGAGATAGAAGAGCTGGAGAGAAAGAAGTGCCTAACATAAAAAAGCAATACTGATTAAAAAAAAAAAATAAGAAGAGAAAGACTTGAAACAGAATTTCAAAGAGTATGAACAAAGATAAATTCTACACAAGCAAACTCCAGTTTACAGACTGCTTATTTACACAGGCCAGTGTCTGACTGTTTACCCTGGAATAGTTGTTACTTGCATAGTAATCAAGACCACGCTTACTACAGCTGTTGCAGAGTGAATGAACCCTCTTCTCAGCTAAACAATGACAGGGTTCAGCCAGAGCAGTCATCTAAGAAGGGACCAAGCAGCAGAGATTATGTGAGGTCTGGGGAGAGAAGCAGACAGCTGAATCTAGCTAGGCAGCCAAAAGCTTCTACTGGGCAGAAAGAACCCAAGGGCTTTCTGCGTATGCAGTTTTTTTCATACTATCTTCAGAAGGTTTACACACTAAATCCACTAGGTAACACTGAATTTCGCACCTGAACTGATCAAGCACTAGGCACAGGCTTTGGAATCAGCATGACCATTAAACTGTTCAGGAATATCTTTGCCCACTGGCAGTCCATAGGGTTTTATAATTTCTTTGCCCCTACAGTACAGCTGCTGGTTTGACTCAAAAAAACAGTTTTTAATATCCACTGGAAAAGCAACCCCTGCAAACTTCTTGTGAAAGACTGTGTTGGATCTCCCCTGTTTACTTCATTTCCTGTCACCAACACAAAATAAGCTATGGCAATAATCACACTTCTGTTTGAGTAACATTTCCTATTAAGAGGCTCCTGCTGTCAGTTTACCAGTCACATATCATGCTCCAATTAAATGCTGCTATCCTAGCAAAAACCTGCAATAGGGAGCTGATGTGAGAGTCTCTCTTTGAACCACAGTTGCAGAAGAAGATAATGACCTTCCCTGGTAGATTTACAGACTGCAGAAAAAGAGGAACATTGGGAGTCTCTTGTTTTTCAGGAATTTTTTGGTGTTTAGGAAACTAAGTTTTTTGGAGGGAGAGGGACAGAGGATTTGGTTTAGTTGTTTTTTTACTGGTCTTTTGATTTTTGGAATTAGCTCATGAACTCATTGAGTGGCCAGTGCCAAATAAGAGCGCTGAAGTAAATTATTTACTTTCTTGGCAACACACACATGATAACTTCAAAAGATGACAACAGCTTTGTTACTATGCCTAAGTGTGTAAAAATAAATGATAAAATATATCTTTTTTAAAAAAGCGTGTTTCTCTGTAAGAGCAATGCAGGAGTTTTGTTTTGCTGAGTTAGAGTAGTTAGAGCCCCCAGCCATGCTTCTTTCAAGCCGCAATGCAAAATATCTCATAAAGCCTACTTCCAAAAAATTAAATGCTTGTGACTTGGGTGATGAAAACACTGCAGAACAATCTAAACATGTCCACAAATTCTTTAAACCTTATGAAACACTACACACATTTAGATAGAGCAGCAGACCCTCATTACTCACAATTAGCAAGCTTCAACTGTGTAACAAGGACATTGAAACACCCAGCCAAAACAAACCAAGGGCAAACAAAATTTTGAAAAAAAAAAAAAAGCCAAGAAAGCCAACTACTAGCTAATGTTCCTAAAAGGCATTCACTTGAGACTGGATATGTGGTAGTTTTTATGCAAACTAGGTTTTAAGCTTGAATTTCTGAAGACCAAGGTAATAGCAAAGTATAGAAGAAAAGTAATGCAAGTTAGAAACAGATCCAAAGAGCAATTATTTTAATTATCTATTAAGATAGAAAGTGTATTTCTATGAAACAGAGATTTTTAAGTCTTGGTTGATGATGAAGAATAAACATACATGCAAACGGCATGTATGTATATACATACATACATTTGAAACAGCACAGTGCCATGTATAAAGAACCATGCCACTCATTTAAAAAGACTGTATAACTCATAGTCAAATGCAATATCTTCTGTCTCTAAATCCCTAAGAACCTTTTGAAAATCTGGTCCATATTGCTTGAAAACATGACTTTAATCTATCATCTCAAATTCTTCATGCAAATCAAATCTTTCATATATTCCATTACCTTCTACTCAGTGGCAAATAAGAGAACATTACTAACATCATTTTATGTAAAAAAAAAACCAGAATTGCAATTAGGTAAACACATTTTATCCACAAATACGTATTATATATATTTCTCTAAATAATAATAATAATAAAAGTTTCATTTGTAAATATGTCACTAGTGGGAGTCACAATGGCAATACAGTACCTTTGAGCTTCAAAGAGAAGCCTGAGGGGTAATTCTTCTGCATATTTCCTAAATGCTTTTGCTCATGTGGTTTTACTTGTTCTCTCTTTAAATGTACATGAACATTTAAGAACAAGAATAAACACCCTTGCATGCTGATCTTTGAATAGAGAATATTTAAACTTTTATTTGGGGGGCTTACCTGCGTTTTTTTGATTACCATTATGAAGTCAAATAAAAAAATAAATATTTTGGCAGACCGCTGTGGTCTTGGTCAGCAAAAGAGGAAGATAACCTCTATTAAAATACATACCTCTGTCAGGAATGATTTGGCTGTGGAAGGGTTCATTATGAGAATGGCACGTCTCAGGGTGTCCCGGTAGCGGTTCAGTTCTTCTATTCTCATAGTGGCAAAGAGCCCTGTGATCATTTTATTGATGTTATTTTCTACTTTCTGTAATGCTACATCCATTCCCTGTTGAGACACTTTGTCTAAAAATTCTTGGATTCCACGGATATCTAGAAAAATCAGAAGGCAAACAAGATGTTAGTTGGTAAGTGGAAAAAAAAGACAAAAGTAACTGTTCAATTTATCTCACAGAAACATTTTGTCAGGTAGATTCCCACAGGTTTTCCCTTAATATTCATTAAACCTCTTCCTGAGCTATGCTCACTGCACTTCTTAAAGTACTAAAACAGAAGAATGGCCACACAATAGCTACTGTCCAAAGCAGCCATTAGAAAACAAACCTACAAACACATCTAGCAATTTTCCTAATTTGGCCATTCAAGCATCACACTTCGTCCTAATCTTTCTTAAAGGACTTTCACACTAAAATCCATATAGGGAAATGGGACCATGGTGACCATCACACAATTCTTCCTCCAAGCAAGGGTTGTCGGAGGGCAACTGAGGAGGAGAAAGGCAGGAAGCATATTGTTTTCTTTTCTGAAACAGAATGTTTTTGTCAAAACTATATTATTCATGCTACATAGCTTGATGTACCTAAGTGAAGCTTGGGCTGTTCACACATCAAAAAGTCTTAATGTTGTTCTAAACCTCACAACTATTATTTCCTTCAGAAACAAAACAAAAGCCAGATGTACAGTTGTTGCAATGATACTTCCTGCTCTCATTTGATGCCACTGGCTGAGTTTAGTAAATTTTCCCCAGAAAACTGCTCCTCTGGGAGCAAACTTTTGCTGGAAGCAAACTGGTTCACTCGGGATAAACCCCTCTTTAAGAATGACTTAGAAAGGAAGACTTGATCAGCAAAATGTTGACTGAGTTTATTACCAGGCTTGTAATATATTTATAGCCTACCAAACTGAAATGTCTGGGTACTCTTCAAATTATTATGCTGCCTCTAGCTGACGCAAGCCTTTGGAAGGGCTTTTTTCAGTACTGAATTTCACAAGAAGACTTGACTTTTTCTTTCCCTTTGCTCTTTTGAATGATTTTAACTCCAAACTTTATGCTTAAAAATTAAAATCATTCAGTGACTCCACAAGTCAGATCAGGGCTTTCTGGACCTGAGGAAAATCCCTTCAGCCTCACTGAGTCCTCACTATCTGACCCCTAGCCACCACTGCAGTCTCAATCTGTTATCAGGATCTAAGCCACCAGTTCCCTAACATAACTTGTCCCTCCAGCAGTCACTCTGACCTGCTGTCCCAGAGGACAATCAGCAGGTCATCCTTCCTTCCCTACCAGCATGCAAGCCTCCCACACACCCAACTGCTCTCAGTTAAGGGAAAAAGAAACAGCCTTAGAGTCAACACAACAGACACTAGCTGAAGCACACACTATAGGAAAAGCAAAGGAGAAAAAGAAAGGAAATCAGTAACCCCACATAAGCAGGAATTTCTGAAGAAACATTTCTTCAAAAAATAAGGTTTCCTCAGGTTTAGGAGGGCATTTGTGGTTAAAATCACCAGAAAAATATTTCTCCCATTGCAATACTCAGTCTGGTCTCTCCTAGATGCATAGTCTCAGATCCAGTCTCTGAGGGACTGCAGTTCCCTCTTTTCTTGTCTCACTCATTTTCCAGGGAACTGGTCAGACCTGAAGTGACAGGCTTCTTATGTGTCTGCAAGATGCCTCTTCTAGTTGAGAAAGCTTCCAATTACACTTTCACAACAGCTTGGCTGCTCATATCTTTTGTCTTGACCTATCAACTTCCCCTGCTTCCTGGCCTTTTTAGGGGTAAGGGGGTGCCACAAACAGTATTTTTCCTAAGGCACAATATTAGGAAAACGAAGTTCAGCCCTTACATGAGAAAAAACGCTCTGCCTGCATCACCAGCAGAGATCAACTAACTAGAGAATGTCACAGACAGCCATCCTCCTCCAGCACCAGTTCACTGAGATGCTTCAAATTATGAAGAAGTAGCCATGCAATAGCTTAGAATCAAACAGTACACAAGAATAATTCAACAGGGTTAGTTCCTGGAAGTCCATCACAATCAGCAAGCTGAGTCTTCTGTCTAGAGCTCCAAAATACCATGAACTGGAAAGAAATGGTATTTTAGGCATCTAGGCTATTTCAGACATTCATCACCAAAACCTCACTCTCCAGACACTGCCAAAATATCAGTATTACTAAACACTTGTAGGATAGTTTAACCATGAATAAAATACACGCATGCCCTAAAAATAAAGTTCCATAAGAGAATCAGATACTAATTACAGCTTCTATTTAATATCTAAATCAGGAAAATTAGATTCAATCTAATCAGAGATGTTAGAAATTTTTGGCACTTTAAATACCAACAAGATTATTTGAAGTGCTACAAATATGTCTAGTTTTATGCAAATGATAGATAAAATAACTTCTTTCTGCTTTAACCCCTTCATTCTAAAGTTTCTGAGGCTCACACATTGATGATTACTCAAAATCCAGACTAATTAAATCATATAATGGGTAAAACTGACTGGTTGAAGTCAAAATCACTGAATCACAAAGAACACACGTAGATGGGATTTAAATATACTATCAAAATATCAGGAAGAAAATTTTCTTAGGCTATGAAAGCCTTTTTAAAGACTTAAATTCTGTCTCATTAATTGATATATTTTCTGGCACCAGAACAGGCTGAGCAGGAACAACCGAAGTTTCATTGGTCCCTTTTCAAAACAAGAAAATCATTTCACTTGACCTGAAGTTATAAACACACTGGAGTTATTGACTGATATTCTGCACAATCTGTGCTGACCCAGAAGCCAGATTATAGGATCAAATGGTTTTCTTTGCCATGAAGATCTGCACATAAACATATAATAAACATATAATTTTCACTAAATGATGGGACAAAAGAGTTCCAGTATTGTTCTCTGCATTTATTAGGTGACCGTGCCAACTGTATTGCATCTATGTGATATTCTACTAAGAAAACACCACCATTCTAATGGAAAATGTACCAAACCAGGATTCCTATTTCTTCTTTGTTACTTCTGTCTTTGGCATTGGTACAACACAGAGACATGGCCAGGAAATAAATACAAACTCTGGTTATACCTCAGCTTACCCAGTAGCAGAATGGAGGTACTGGTGGTGCTCACCTGCTCCTGTGAAACAGCAGAAAGCACATGAAAACACCCTGAAATTTAAATGTTATTTAAATCATGATGGAACTTCCCATATTTCAGCAGCGAGTCACTAGCAATGATCATATTCAAAGCGTATGCTAAAGAACAGATGCTGCCACTGAATGGGCAGCATTATCTTTCCTGCGTGGATTGTCTGAAAGTGGCACATATCCACACTGAACTGTGGAATCATCTTTCTAATAGATAAACTCCTTCTGCAGAAAAATCTGGCAAGCAACCTGTGGCACAGATGGCTTTTCTGAGGAGACACAAGACTGTTCATGTCTGGAACACAGGTGTTTCTTGCCCTGAATTTGCTAGCCAAACAACCTGTTGCACAGACATTTCTACTTTCTATTTAAATCTGATGAGCCACAGTCACTGTCATAAATTCAGAAGAGTTTTCCTATTATCACCAGTATTAATTATCATCTTTAGTGATCAAAGCCAAAGTTAGCATGTAGAGACAGATCAATGCTAAAGCCAAAGCTGCCATCTCCTTCCCAGCTGAATGCCACTATTATTTAGCATTACATTTCCTGTTTTTTTACTGGACAGCCATTACTTCCAGTCTACACATGTAAGGCACAATACCCCTCTGTAGCCAGCATCACCTGTAGGTTTAAAGCGGGCTGGAGATTTAGAAGAAGCATTACCAAACATTCTCCTTATTGCCAAAACTGTGCTCAGTTTCAGAGACTGTGAAGTTGGCTTGGAAATGCTAATATGCAAAGCAAGCAAAATTTATTAAGGCCTCTGTTGGACATGTCCTTCCCTGGCACAGGTAACCATGGCACAAGGCAGAGATCTCCAGGGAGGTCTTATGGTCTGCACTGGTGGTGCACAGCAGGTCCAACACTGGGCACACCAGCAGCCACAGCTGCAGCCATGCACAGCATCCTGCAGAGCAGAACTCAGGGCCCAGAGCCTCTGAAGCTCTGCAGACCTGGCTGATATATTCAAGTGCATGTACTCAGTATAGCACTGCTCCAGCTGACATCTGAATTCAGGTGACAGCTTCACCAAACTTGTCATTAGTGTGTCAGCTACCCTGGATTCTGACCTAAAAATGAATTTAGGAAATGAAGGATAAACTCGCACAACCGTCTTCTCACTCAGTAATCTTTTTGATACCGAAGAAAGCACAAGAAACAGTTGAGTATCTTAAATACAGAGAATGTTCAGAGAAAAGTGCCCTTCACAGACTATGGGCCTAAGTCTTCTTAAATGACCAGCCTGGCAGGAACACTCAGACCTCACCTATCATAAACCATAAGAACCATTAAATGGAAAAAATCAGGCACATGGTGTGACTTCTGGGGCTGCTCAGAGCAAGGCTGGCAGTGAGACTTTAATGAGTGTGTAGGTCCCTTTTAACTCAGAACATTCTGTGGTTCTTGCACAAAGTTTTTTTTAATCATGGGACCAGATCTCATCTTCATCTCACTTTTTTGCTCTCTGGCCCCCCATACCTTTCCTTTGCCATCTCTGTTTTGTACAGAGGAAGCAAGTCCCCTAATCCATCTTGGAGAAAGCCCAATAATCAGGGCATCCTAGAAGAAAATATGCTGGTTTTCAGGTATCTCATACAGGAATACCAGGATGCATATGCAGTGAAGATTTTATAAGCTGAATAAAATGAACAGCAAATATTAAATAACTCTTAAGCTAAGTACCTCTTACACCCTTATTAAAAAGAAACGTCAACAAGTAGATGCAAAGTTCATAAAAAAATTTTCAGATTACACTATTATCAGGAGATGAGAAAGATGTCACTATTCACTAACCGTAATAAATTAATCCATCTACCTGTATCATTGTGTTCCACCTAAATTACAAGGCACTCACTGTGCACTTTGGCTGTCTCAAGCCTGGCTTACAGTTATTAGCTCATCCTCCCTCTGATGGCACTTCAGATCTGAGAACATTCT